TAGTGCCGGAGCAGGTTGATAGAACGCAAAAACAGTTCATCTTTACTTTCCTCTGGCCTCTCAAGATCATCCTCTACCTCGTCCCAAAGGCTGGTGGTGCGTAGTGTGCGCCGTTTCACAGTTGATCTGTTTAACAAATAGCCCTTTACAAGAAGTACCATGGCAACAGCGATGTCAATCAAGAGATCCACCTTTGGCTGTCTAGACTCATTTGATAGTTCTTCTGACATTATGCAGTCCCATAATAATGTCAAGCTGGATAATGAGATGTCGTTTGTGAACATGGCTGTAAACCAGCGGTAACCATAGAGAGTTGGCACGATGTTGTTTTCCTGCAAAATGGAGTATAGTGATGTGTTGAACCAGCGCAAACGCTTTTCATATTTCAAAAGCACAATGTCTACACCTGTCTCATTTAAAATAGTGTTTATATCTTTAAACATGGCAGCCAACATCCAGTAGACTTGTTCTTCCGCATCACGAAGGCTGTAGGCTATGCCGCCGGCAAAGATAAGATACAGATATGCTGCAATGTCAATGAGAGAAGATCTATATTGCCATTGTGGATTGGCAAGACAAAAGACATATAGTAGACGAATCAATGCCTCCAAGTGAGTTTCAGGTCTAAAGAGTGCCCCAGACATGGGCGATGGGAATTCACCAGTGGCGCTGCTGAGTAGCAGTGGTTTTGGAGACAGCAGGAGGATAGGAGACGAGGTGGCATCTGCCGGTTCTTGTAAAGCATGTGTATCAAGAGGTGGGGGCCTTACCGTGTCAAGGCGTGATAGAATAGATGATGGGGCTTCCGTTGACAGTGTGATTTTTGGAGAGAGCATTCCTGAGTCTGAGGGTGAGGGGCTGGATAAGTCCTCATCCAAGTCCGAAGGTGCCTTCTTTGGCCAACCCCGGTGTTTGGCAGTGTTGTGCACATCCAACCTCTTGAAAATCGCCCGCCTGGACAGGATTGGCTTTGACAACTCCTCTTCATCAGAGTCGCTATCTTCATCCAATGAGTGTTGGGATTTCGATGCTGGGCTATCTACATCTTGAGCAATGTCTTCCTGAGAAAGGGCGCGAAATGGGGATGATCTACGCGGCCTGGTGAAACGTTGCCAAAATGAGGACTTGAGTTTTTCAGTGTCCCGTGAGATGTTGCTCAGCAGAGGATCAAAGCGGCTACTAGACGTGGCCTAATAATGAAAGAGTGTACACCGGCATTAGACATGTAGTTGTACGTCGCAGGGTGCTCAAGGCACATATGGAATTACTTGCCGATTGGTCCTCCAGCTCGTCCATAAATGCCTGTACCAATGCCTGCCCCAGTCAGATTGTTCAGCACGCACATGACTCACATGATATGCTCCTTTCCGCTTGAGCAAGGCCGGCTTCCAAAGCGATTTCTCAGACGGAAGTATCTCGAACAGCAGTGTGTATGCGAGTGGGCGTAAATGAGGGGGGTGATCAGGGATGCCTACGTTCCCACTGTGCGTCAGAAAATGGTTTGATAACCCGCTTGACCAGAGTCACTCACCTCTTGAGCATAGCCGCCGAAGTTGGGACAAATCGACATGCTTCTCAGCAGCTTCTTTCGATCCGTCGAGAAGAGTATGGAATGCCAGTAACCTGGAATTAATTATGTAGGTGCAGATGGTGAGAAGACAGTCATAAAATTCCATCATGACTTCTGTGGCTATGTCGTCGCTTACCTAGTGCGAGGGTCGTCCTCATCCGCTGGTCTATCTTGAGCTATCGGCATGGCTTCGGGCGGCCGTGGCGATGTGAAGGAAGCTCGGGTCAATGCAGAGTGTGATGTGCCCTATAGGCTGTGGCTATGTACGTTACTTATGCGCTCCTGTGGATCTGAGAGGCCCGCTTTGGGTTGTCAAGGAATGATGGACGGCAACAGTGGACCCACGGCCACACTTCACTTCATTGTACAAAGACTTTCTATGGCGTCGTCTTGTTGCCGCAACAAGTTGGTGCAGACGGATGTAGGAGATAATGTGCCTCAGGCGCTCCGCGGTTCAGATGCTTAAATAATGAGTACTTAAGTAATTGATTTGCTTATTCCTTATTGGCTATTTGATTTGATTTAAAGCGGCATCGTTGTGTATATAGTGTTTTACAGTTTCTTGTATTGTAACAATCTATCGGTGCTATCAAATAAAATTCCTCGTCACTCATATTGCATCGGCTAATGGGTCCGTGTGGCTTCTACCTAAGCCTAAACATAATTACAGTACCATCCGAGGCTAGTAATAATGTCCCCATTCCTTCTTATGTATGTATGTATTGCATTGGACTTGACATATTAACACTTATTGCTTACGGTTGATGGGCTTTTGGGCGCGGGGCTTGTGTCGAGCCAGCCAGCATGAGCGGGTAAAATGACCAGTTAATACATAATACTTACACCTTTGTTGTGGAACTCAAATTACACTGCGGTTCACCGGCTACCAAGCAGCCGAGGCAGCCGGACTGCCGGCGGGAGCAGTCGCCGATTGCCGTTGTGGTATGATGCTGGTTTCAAGCGATACTTATACTTATTGTTGTACTACTGTGCCGTACTGTACAATTGTGGTAATCATACTGTACATCGTCAACTCTTTTCGCCCTCGCCTTCCTTCAGAGTTCAGCCCCGGACAGCATCCTGTTCTGTGGTCGCAACTACCCCGGCTCATGTTTCCACACTACCCCCCTCTACTCCTCAACCGCGCCTCACCACTTTTACGACGCCCTGTTCTGTCAGCTTTGCGAAGGCGACATCAAGGTGCTTTACTGGAAGATCATCTGCGATCTCCGCCTCCTCATCCCCTTGTGGTTGACGGCCGCGTCCCTCTCGTGGAACAAGATGTCACTGCCATCCGTGCTACACCGGGCCGCCCAGTGGATCCCCGCGTGCCGCTCTTACCTCGTCCCTATTTGGCAAGCAGTTTTGACACAGGCAGCCATGATATTTCGGAAGGCGGATCCGTTGAACCGCTCAAAGACATGTGTCTTCCTGACACCATCGAAACCCCAGCCACTCCCGCAGACATTGTGCCCGCCGCTACCTTCAAAATCACGTCTGTTGACGAAATTTCTGTGTATTCAGACTTTTTCACCTTGACATCGTTTGGCAAAACTGGGGTGGTCACCTTCTCCCGCTTGCGCGATTCATGCACCTGCACAGCATGCCGGGATAGTTCAACCCGACAGCTCAATACTACGACTGGAAAGGCTGTTCAAGAGGCGAAAGGCACACAGATAACTCTGGAAAAGCGACATGATAGTCAAGGATCATCATCAACGGGGCTTTTGGTGAAATGGAGTGAATCACACACCTGTCATTTTGATATCCCTACGCTCAGGTCCATGATTGGCACTGATGCTACTCCTTGGTCACGCCGATCCCCTTTCCTTCGTCAAACTTGGGATGCCTCCACCATATCCCAGACTGATATAAGGTTTACATACAACAACCTCGATACTTCCCTCCTTCCACTATTGAAGCGGCTCCAATCATTTGGTCTTGTGGTCATATCGGATGTTCCTACCAACCCAACCGGTAATGTGGAGTGCAAGTTGAGAGAAGTCATGGGAAAGATTGGAGAGCTCAGAAACACATTTTATGGCGAGACCTGGAATGTAAAGAGCATGAAGCAGAGCAAAAATGTTGCGTGAGTGTGCACATGATGAGGACATTGCAGGCTCACTAACAGAATACACAGCTACACCAGCCTTGACCTGGGACTGCACATGGATTTGCTTTATTTCGCATCTCCACCACGCTTTCAAGCTCTCCACTGTCTTCGCAACAGAGTCCAAGGAGGCATGTCCTACTTTGTTGACTCATTCAAAGTTGCTGAGGATCTCCCTCGACCTCTGTTCACGGCCCTGCAACAGACATATATCCCCTACCGCTATGACAATGACGGTCACTACCTGCACCATTCTCACCCTGTCATTAGCCGTGATTTTGACCTTGCCAATCCTCACTCTGCAGTCAACTGGAGCCCTCCTTTCAGAGGTCCAACACCCGCCCTTACCCCTGCTGCTGAGCGGCCTTCACTACCTGCGCTGGCCATAGCTGCTTCTCTGGAACATCAGATGTTCAATGACATTGCTGAATTTGAGGCAAGACTGGGCCAGCCAGAGTACAGGTACTCCTTTTTAATGGAGGAGGGCGACTTGGTCATCTTTGACAACAGGCGAGTGCTCCATGCCCGCACTTCATTCAGTGAGAGGGCGGAAAAGGGAGGACTCCAGGGTACTGAGATTCCTGGCAATGAAGCTAGGAATGTGGCAAATGGGGAGCCTACAAGGTGGCTTAAGGGGTGTTATCTTGACGGAGAAGCTGTCTGGGATAAACTCTCGGTGTTGTCAAATGATACAATGCAGGCGATGCCGGGGGGGAATTGAATAGCCGGACTGATGCATGAAAGTGATTGAATCATCTGAGTTGCAGGATCGGTGCCGCTCAGTTGGCAGCCAGAGATGGTGTGGTGCTTTTATGTTTCGGCTGACATGAATGAATGAGCGGTGTGCAATCAATATGTTGCAAAAATACTGGCGCATGCGCAACACAATCCCATACTCCAGATTATATAAGTACACTGTTAGGATTATATGATTCTACTGTACATCCTCACTTTTTCCCATAGGCCTGGATTGGCTAAACATGGCCTGGGGAAGTAGATGTCTGTCTTTGGTTGTTCACCTTCTTTCACTACTTTCCTTCAACAGTATCCTTCATATTACTATGAGATGATTTATGTGACATCTGCAGTCTAGTCTACGCAACCACATTTTCAAAATATGTAGTGATGACAGATGCAGAAACGCCGGCTGAAGTGACTTAAGAGACCTGAAATGAATGTATGTATGAAGCGAAAAGACTATGCATATGTGTCAAAAGTGGCATCCTTGTGTATATGGGGGGTCTAAAACTATTGTATATGTATACACTTTGAAATCGTGTGTTGGTTGGAGGTAAGACAAATTGCTTTTAAATATGTGAGGCGTCAATCGTCTAGGGGTTAGGATGGCTCCCTTCCATTAAGTTGTGTCAGGAGTCGGCCGGCGTTCGAATCGCCGTTGACGCATTCTCTTTTTGCCAAACATTGCCCGACTTGCCGATGTCTTCATCTTTTGCCGCATTTCTTCTTTTTGTCGCTGTTCGGCTCCTTCTACTGCTTGTTGTCGCAACTGCAAGGGGCCCAGGGCCCCCTCTTCGAGTCCCCACTCCCCGCCCATGACCTCTCCTCATGGCCCCCCTGGGCCGTTGCTCCTGTCACCGTCACTGACCGCGAAGTCTCGCCCCCCACTGACATCCGGCGGCGTCCCCACACACACACCTGGAGCGCAAGCGAACCCACATCTCCGGCAGGGGCAAGCGTCAAGTATCGCGAGTAGGCAGAGGGGGTTATCTGATACATTTGTGCCTTTTAAGAGTGAAGAAGTAGTACTTCTTGATAAAATCTGTCTCTTAACATGCTACGACATCATCGGCTTTGTGCATTCGGTCATGCTTATGGAAGTTCGTACTTGTACTTTCCCTCGTCCCTCGGCATCACGAGCGATCATGGCAGCAATGCCACGTTTATAATAGTTAGATATTCTCAAGCGGTTCTGGAATTTGAACAGAACGGAACCCCCGTGACATAACCGGCGACCTACCTGGGCAGGCTTAAGAGGCTGGGAAGCGGCCAGAGTGCAACAGCTTCAAAGATGGGCAGTTGCTTGTACTCGTACGTTGACCTTCGTAAGCCTTGGCATCTATCTTTCTCGCTGTCAATCGTATCATTGCGGCTGATTGATTGTTCAACAGCTAAAGTTCTCCTACACTCCACCAACGCCCCTTATCTCCCCTTTTCACTAATTTTACACTCCTTGCATTATGTATACAGCCCCCTCTACCCTCACTTCCCCTTTGAAGCCGGCGACACTGGCGATACACATGCAATTAGTACAGGCCGTGCTCCTGCGGCTCCCACTACATAACGTCTTTCCCTTATCATGCTGTCATCCAGCATGGCTCACCTTTCGAGGACCGTGCCGCCCCCTCCCTTGATGCCGGCGGAATCACGGCTAGGCAGGGCGGGGGGGCACGATCCTTATCTTCCGCACCACCGTTTGCTTTTATCTTTTCCATAGATTCACTAACAAGACGACGAAGCCCATTTGGATCTGTCCAGAGTAGTATTTTAAATTTGACCTCCGTGATGTGCCAAAGTAAATGGGGTGAACGGTTTCTGAGGTATAGCAGGAATGAGGGAAACTTCTCTTTAATAATATCTTCTTCTTTTCTCGTTTAGAATGCTCAGTGGAAAGGAAGCCACATCAGATCCATATACACTGAGTACGCCACTTCATTGACGTCATGGTAATTGAAATCTTCGTGTACATTAGCAATCTACGTGTACATCAGCAGTATCCATTTACCCTTGACTGATTGCTAGAGCTAAAGGACCAAGTGTCTAGGGGGCATCAAGGATGGGATAATTGAATTCTAATCTGGGGCCAGCCTGGTTGAAGTGATGCTTCAGAGTTGATGATCAGTAAGCAATTGTCCGTCAATAAGCCACCACTACAGACGGTAAATGGATGTGGCAAAAATGAGGCGTGTGAGCGATGATGCAATGTGGTGTGTGCCGTAGATATACGACCCCACCAGAAAATTCCTCTTCAATGAACTTCTCCATCACACCCACCATCTATCCCTCTTCAGCTCTTCTGATCTTTCCGTGAGGCGCTTCCCCCTTTGGGCGACAAAGCCACTCGCCTCCACCGGCTCTAGAATCACCATGAAGAATGAGAACGACAAAGTTTAGCTGATGCATACTTATGTCCCAAGTGTGGTTATGTGTGCCTTTCCCCATGTTGATCGACCAGACATTGATTTTAGACAACACACTATGGCACCATCTAGAAGTACATCAGTCAGCACATTTGACATGATAGTGTACAGAACTCTGTTCTACAATGCGGGCTCTTTATACTCGAGATCTGGACATCCACAAGGGCATAACAACATGTCTCTGTCTGTTTGGTTCAAGGTTGATAAGTGTGGCAAGCAAAGCAAGATCACGGCGGCACATAGGGCATGAAGATGCACTAGGGGTGTCAAGCCATGTCTGACCAGTACGCAGTGTCATTGCCATTAGTCTTATTCATGGCTTTATTGCTATGCGGTAGACACTCACTTTTAAGCATTCTTGATGATACATGTGCTCGCATGGGGTAACAGAGAGCTCTGTGGTGTCCTCGTACTGTTTTAATCCCTAAATTAGCATGGCAGATATACAGCTAGAACCAACAGCAAACCCACCTCATCATGACAAACCGAACAGTACTCGTCCCTTGACATGCCCTCTCTGTCTCCAAACATGCCCCAAGTCACGTGTTCCAAAACACTCTCTGCTGCATTTCTCCTCACACTCTTAGGCACATGTGACAGTCCCATGGCTGCCAGATCTGCGACCTCATTTCTTTCTATATCGGACATCCCTACAGTCAAATGGAGCTGTTCAATTGGAATTGCCAAGTGCCTTCTTCCACCTGCATGGCCCATGATGGAAGACCTTGAGTTGTGACGTTCAATGCCGGCAGTCGCATTAATCAGGTCAAGTGTGTCCGATCCATCTGTCGAAGAAGTAGACGATGCTTGAAGTGATGCACGAAGGCGAGTTATGTGGGGATTAAACTGCGCATGTTGTGTATTGGGTGGGGTTACAGGAGCAGTAACCATAGAATCAGGTAGCGAAACAAGTAATAGAGAGGTGTATGATCCTGTGGGTGCACTGGACCTGCTGTCATCCACTTCACCCCACAATGGTGTAGTGGCTAGTCTGCCGAGTCCTGCTTGTCTATTGGTGCTTTGGGCAGGGACACTGCCATGTGAGGCCCTGAGAGCGGCCGGAGCGATGGGTTGGCTGACCCTTCGCCCAATGGCAACATTGACATCCCTGTTCCACACAACTGTCAATGATTCACCGCTAGTGGCGACGCGTCTAGGGGCTCTATGGCCACTGCCTGCCATAGATGTGGGTTCTTCATGAGCTGCCACAGGCCCTGTGTGACCCATCGGGATGTGCGCCTGCCCAGCACGCAAACCATCATCACCAGACGCAGATGCCAGCCGTGGCTGGTGCAGCCTGTCTTCCAATGATGTTGATGTGCCAGAGTGATTATTGACACTATGAGTATCCGAAGTCTGCCAAGCTGCCGATGAGGTACCAACAGATGATATGCTGGTAAATGGCGCACTAGCAGATGACGCACTAGCAGGAAGATGCCGCCTTTCCTGCTGTAGATGGGCGTACCTTTCCCGAGCCTGGCTGGGCCTTAATGTGCGACCCCCCACACCAGTACCGCTGTTGGTACCGTAAAAGGCTGTGCAGGAAGGCTCAGGATAGATACCAGGTCTCAAACCGTCCTCTCTTCCATGGCCAGTATGCTCATTGGGGAAGGCATAAGTGGTGATGTTGCTGGATTGGGACAGTGCTGGGGATGAGGGTATGTTCAGACTCCCCGGGGGACCCTGGTCGGAGTCATGAGACTCTCGCTGTAAAGCTCGGTTGGAGGGTAAAACATTGTTGCCCCTTCCTGCACCATCCCTTGATGAATAAGATGGAGATAGTGGAGTAGGGACGGAAGGCTCTGATGGGTTTGTCCATGGCAATATAGCAGTTCTAGATTTGGACAGTCAGCCAGGTAGGCAAGCCTTTGAGCAGTGAGCAAACTCACCTTGCTGTGTCGACAGAAGGATTTGCGTGTGATTGTGGAGCTGTGGAACGGCTTCGAGGCCATTGAGAGAACGAGGGCAAGGGCGATGCCTGCTGTCGCATGCGGTCAAGCCTATTTCCTATGCTGTTGATACGGCGCTCTAAGCCCCCGGGAGATGACTCGTTAGATATCCCGATGAGGGGCGATGGGATGCCATGCAGATGTTCCGTGTGTGTGGAAGAATTTTGATTGGAAGTAAGCAAACCTCCATGAACTGGTGGGATTGGCACTGGCACATGCGTGACTCTGTCTGGGGTGCGCAGCACTTGGAGAGTGATAGCTGACGCATGGTTTTCCACAATCGAAGTGGAAGGTTCAACATAGGGGAGGGCATAGGGGAGGGCATGGATGGTCTGCGGGGGGGGTAGCGGTATGTTTCGCGAGTGTGGGGCATGTGGTGAGAGTGGCACCGGATATGATGTCGGCGGGGCCAGAAGTGACAATGAGCTTCGCTCTGTGGTCCGGCTACTTGTTCCAGTAGAGCGGCTTCTGTCAGTAAAAGTGTCCACATTAAGTGGGGATGTAACATACAAGCGATCCCTATCTTGATTGTCGTGTGTTGTATAGCCCTGGGAGGCAAGTGTGATAGGCAGACCTCCCCTGTAAAGATGCCTCCTACCTCGGTGCAAGTTTCGCCCTGATGAACGACTCTGATCCTCCCTGAAGCCATCTCCCATTTCTGTATTCTCCTCATTGTCAGAATGCCGATCAGCGCTAGGATGGAGCCCTGTCGGGATGGCACTGCCCGAGCCGCTCCCTAATGACTCTTGGGAGTTCCCCAGGAGATCTGCCGAGTGAGGGAAAGGTTTCTGTTTAGCATGTGAGTTTTCCCCATGTGCGTGGCGGGATGGTGCAGAGGAAATGGGTGTCTGTGGAAGAGTGGTGGTGGAATGTCTGACTATAGATTCCGGGTTACGCATATTATTGACAGGCGTCGGAGGTGTGATGTGGCCGTACGTCTCGGCCATGATGGCAAAGAAGGGTTTCTACGATGGTGATTCTGCTAAAGTAGTACACTGAGGACTTTGTCAGAAATTTGTCAGATACCGACTGACAAAGTATGCGTGTGCAGCAGGACACGGAAAACATACAGCAAAGATCACCAGTATGTCGAAGGTTGTGGTCAATGTACGAAGGACAGTGGTTGCAATCTGTCAAGACAAGTGATGCAATACCGCAAGGATGCAACGATATTCGGAAGGGTCTGATGAAAGCCTACGAAGTCAGGTATTTGTCAGCGACACTGGCTAGACGCCCATATATATAGCTTTTGGATATTTGGCGCCGTGCGATGGCAATCAATGTATGCCAAAACAGC